CTCTTCCCGGTTCGTTTCATTCATGTACAGCCCCAAATACCCCCCACCACCCACCGCGGCTTTTTACATGCTTGTACATACATTCATACATCATCAGTTGTTTCATTTGTGTATATGTTGGCCTGTACTCTGTAGAATAGACAAAAAACTCCCCCACGCTTTCCTCTCTTCATGTTAAAATAACATTAACGATTAGCAGGTTAGAGACACGATTGAGAAGAGATACGAATCTAATTCGCTCTATGACATTGTCGCTTTCCTTTCCTTCCCCTCATCAAACAGCTACGAATGGGACAGATAATAATATTATACAAATATACGGGCAGGCCGTGAACACCACCCACCACGACGAACTATCAACATAAAAACCAACAGAAAATAATAGATAAATAAATAAATAAATAAATACCAACGCCTCAATGTAAAAACCAACATCGATGACTAGGCATGTATGAACCACAACCACCCGCCCCGCGGCCTCCTCCGCCGCCGCCTCCTCTTAAACCGCTCAACACTCTCCCCAACACCCCACCCCTCAACCAACAGCCCCCTCACATCCTCCAACCCCAACCCACTCATCTCGGGATATATCGCCCAAATAACCACACATCCCACCGCGCAGACAGCCGCGTACAAGACAAACGTCCACCCGGGCGAGATCCACTCCATTACCGGCAAAAACGTCAGCCCGACAACAAAATTGGAAGCCCAGTTGACCCCGGTGGCGAGCGCCGAGCCGAGCGAGCGCACGCTTAGCGGGAAGAGTTCGGATTGCTGCCAGGGTATCGTGCCGATGCCGGAAGCGTACGCGGCGGTGAAGACGCTGAGAGCGGTCAGGATTAGGAGCGGGGAGAGCGCTGCTAGTGCTGAGTCGGGCGGCTGGTGTTCCTGGGGTGGGTTGTTGGGTAATGGGGACTCGAAGGTGAAGAAGGCGAGTGCGCAGAGGAGGAGGGCGGTGGTCATGATTGGGATTGAGACGAGGAGGATGCGGCGGCGGCCGATGCGGTCGATGAGCGAGAAGGCGAGAAGGGTGAAGAGGAAGTTTGTCACGGCGACGGAGAGGGAGGTCAGCGTTGGCGAGGAGAAGGCCAGGAGAGAGAAGATGGTTGCGCTGAAGTACATGAGTGAGTTGAAGCCGCAGAGCTGCTGCAGGGCCTGGAGCATGCAGGCAATCGTCAGCGCGCGGCGGTTGCCGTCGATCTGGAAGAGAGCGGCCCAGCCGCGTGGGAGGTGCAGCCATGCGTGCGATGACGTCTCTTGGTTTGAGGGCTTTAGGAGCTCGTCCAATTCATCTTCCTCTGCGTGGAGTTCCCGTTCTATCTCCCGGACGAGTTGGTCGGGGATTCGTGGGTTGGATGGGCCGTAGATTCTGTGGATGACACGCCGGGCTTCGGGCTGCTTGTTTGCCCGGACAAGCCAGCGGGGGGTTTCGGGGAAAAAGAGAACGATGACTAGCTGGACTATGCTGGGGAGAGCCCCGAGGCCGACCATCCATCTCCAGCCGGCGTGGGTGGTAGAGAGGAGCCAGCCGATGGTGTATGCAACGACCTGGCCTCCAGTCACAAAGAGGCTTAAGATGGTTACCATTCTACCTCGCATGTCGGGAGGAGAGAGTTCAGATATGTACCTGTTGCGCATCGTCAGTAGCTGTGGATGTAATAACCGGCAGGGTGTATGAGAGGAGAGGAAATGGCTGCCACCCTCCCCCTCCCACTCCCTCTTCTCAGTTTAACATACAGCGGGGTAACCAGACTAGCCGCCCCAACACCCAAGCCAATCAGGCTCCTGCCCAATATCATGGTCCAGACATTCGAGGATACGGCTTGCAACACCCCTCCAGATATGAACAGGAGATCAGCAATGAGGATGACGGGCTTGCGACCGAGCTTGTCGCCCAGGACACCTGCGAACGGGCTCACGATCAGCGCAAATAAACTGGTGCACGCTGTAATCAAACTCTTATCGCGCGTGCTGAGCATACGGCCCGACAGGTCTGTCCCGATGGACACTAGGGTCGAGGAGATGACTCCGGTACTGTTATGATTGGAAAAGAGAGAATACTTAACGATCAGGAAGTCCATGGATTTGCAGTTTCGCGTAGAAATAAAATTGGAGGCTCCATCTATTCAGAGAACATCTGGAGAGGCCTAGGGAGGAGGGGGATTGGGGGGCGCGCGGGAACGAAAAGGGAAGCCTTACTCATAGCCGAAAAGAAAGCCGCTGATGCCGGCTGAACAGGTTAGCGCCCATATGAACGAGCTTCCAGACTCTGCTGCTGCTGCTGCTGCTGCTGCTGCTGCCCCTGGCGATGTCCCTAGCGATCTTCTGTTAATCTGGTTGTCATTGTGGACATCCCCTTCTCCAAACTGGTCGGAGTATCGAGGCGGCGGAGAGCAAGGGGTAGTGGCAGTCTGGGCTAGCAGGGGAGCTTCGGGATTGTCAGCTGCAGAGGCACTCATGTCGTGCAGCTCCAGATCCTCCTAGATGGCAGTGCCAGTGACGTCTGATATTACTTGGGGGGAACGACCAGAGGGCATATGGCGGGTATCATGGTGGGGCCCGGTTGCATGAGTATCTAAAGATGGAGTTGAAGTTGGGGAAATGACAAAAACAAAAGAAGAGAGGCTGACGTAACCAGCCAGCTGCTACGGCGGACAGGAGATGCCAATGAGGCAATACCGGACAGACAGTAATTAATTACCCAGTGGGCCTGCAACCCGAGAGCAATTCCGTATTAGTCGTACGGCCTTTGTCTTCTCTTCTCTCTTTCTTTCTTTCCTCTTCGTCCCTGTCTGTGTCTGCTGCGCTCCGTGGCAGGCAGACCATGCGAACACCTGCATATGGAGGGAGGTCCTATATATGCTTATATAGTTTAATGCTACCAAGGTACGGTACATAGGAATGCCATTAAACACGTCTAATGCGCAGCCACCACCCCAGCCGCATTGGCCTGCTCTGTAATCCTCTTCTTATACGCCTTGACATCCCCAGGGAACTTCTCCACCGTCCCGTTATCGCAAACCCACAGACTCGTGCACACGTTTTGCAACATCGTCACGTCGTGGGACACCATCAGCACCCCGCCCTGGAAACTCTTCAACGCCTCCGACAACGCGTCCATGGCTTCGATGTCGAGGTGGTTGGACGGTTCGTCGAGGACGAGGATGTGCGGGTTTGTCAGCGAGATGCACGCGAAGGCAACACGGGATTTTTGGCCTCCTGACAAAAGGCCCAATTTCTGGAGACCGGTCATGCCGGTGATGCCGAAACTGTAGATATTGAAGTGGTTTTAAGTGTGAGTATTTCAGGCAATGATGGTCTTCGGTTTAGAGGGGAAAAGGTAAGAAAAAATAAAAAGGAGGGGGGGGGTGGCTACTTACGCTCCAAGGTGACGCCGGTATTCTTCCTCCGTCTGTCCGGGGTAGTTCTTCGCCATGAATCCAACAGCGCTAGTATTCATATCCAGCGCATCCACATGATGCTGGGCAAAGAACCCAATCCGCAGTCGGGGATGTTGCGAGATGACTCCCGACATCGGTGAGAGCGCGCCAATCAGCAACTTCAGAACGGTGGTTTTACCAGCACCGTTGGGCCCAACAATACCAATGCGGGAATCTAGCTGGACGTCCAAGTCGACATTCCTCAAAAGGATTTTGTCTTTCGTGTACCCGAAACAGACCTCTGACATCTGCACTATGGGTGGAGACAGCTTTTCGACGTCTGGGAATTTGAAGTGGACGACATATTCGTTCTCGGGAGGTTCCAGGACCGGCATGCGCTCGAGCTTCTTGATTCTCGACTGCGCCTCGGAGGACTTAGCGGCGTTGTAGCGGAATTTATCAATGAAGACTATATACATGAAGTAAGTCAGTTTTCAAATCCTCCATGCTGCAGGAACGAATATGTCAATAGGGGCGGGTTCTTTTTCTATACGAACGTTGCAGATGGGCCCGTTGAGCCATTTGATTCTCATATTCTCGTTTGGCAGTCTTTCGTCGCTCTTCCTTTGTAGCATAGAAAGATTCTGTAAAAAAAATAATAATAATAATAATAATAATAAGTTAGCGTTTCCCATCACTCTATCATGGAAACAAGAGTACATACCGAAATTAGCTCCTCTGTAGTAGTCCAACCGTTCGGCATGTTGGTGGATAATATCGGTGGCAACCTCATTGAGGAATGCTCGATCGTGAGAAACAACCAAAACAGTGCTTGGATAGGTTTGAAGATAATTGGCCAAGAAGGTTATGGACGGCACGTCCAACATGTTAGACGGTTCTGCAGGTCATCTTCCAATCAGCTTTGCTTGCGAAATGTAGAGGGTTAGCGGGGACTGGGGTAAGAACGAACCGTCAAGCAGCAAAAGATCGGGCTCGCAGAAAAGAGCACGGGCGAGGGCAAGACGCATACGCCAACCTCCAGAGAAGGTCTTTGTGGCGAATTGCTGTCGCTCCGGGGAGAAGCCTAACCCAGCGAGGATACTTGCAGCACGGGGCTCCGCTTTGTCCGATTCCATTTCTGCAAGCTTGGAGTGGATGTCACTGAGGGTGATGTCGAGTGCCTCCCTCTCCTTATCAAGGCGCATGGCATCTTTTGAAGTGTCTGCCATGGACGACCGCTCTTCCTCGATAGATGCAAGCTGGTCTGAGATTTTCTGTGCAATCAGTTAGTCTACCTTTACGTCCCATCATCGTAGTCGATTCTAATTGTAGACCATGACGAACCTCCTGCTCCTTTAGAAGATGTTTCCGCCAGACATCTGCATCCAACACAGCCTGTAATGCGGGAGTGTCATCACCGGCAATCTGTAAGAAGGGATTAGCCGTATTCAGATGAACCGTCCTAAATGATTAAAAAAAAAAAAAAAAAGAAAAAGAAAAAGAAAAAAGAAAAAAGAAAAAAGCGGGATCATAGCACCTCTTGCTCGACATGGAGGATAGAAATATGCGTAGGAATAGGCACTTCTCGTCGACTCAGCGCCCGAAGCAGTGTACTCTTTCCAATACCGTTCTGGCCCACCAAGCCATACCGCCTACCATATGCCAGCGTCAACGACGCATCTGTCAGAATCCGCTTGCCAGATATAGCCACATCGAACACATCGACCTTGACATCCTTGCTCTTCGAAGCATCCCCGCCAAGCTGCAAGGGGTTGACCGCCATGTAAAACTCCTCGTAGGACTGCGTGGACTCTGGCTCATTGAGCAACCTCGACGCTTCGTACTCAACCGTCTTCATCTCCTTCCTCTCCTGCTTCGCGCGGATCTTAGCCTCGGCTTTCTGCAGCTTCTTCTTGTCGACGCGCGATTCCACTTTGCGCGTATTAGCAGATTCCAGATCGACGGAGCCACCCGCCAAGCCTAGGGTCGACGACATGTTCCTCTGCGAGCCGACGTGGATGGTCTGGTCGAGCTTTTTGGCCGCGAAGGGCACATGGGCCTTGGCATCGACGCCGTTTGTGGCGCTGAGAGCTGAGATGAATTTCTTGACCAGGTTTTGGATGTCGGCTTGGTTTCTGGAGCTAAAATCTCCAGAAGCTGATAAGAGGAGAGCTGAGATGGTCTCCGCGGCCACCAGGAGGGGTGATGGAGCATTTGGATCAGAGTCCTCGACATAGGCCTTGGATGCATGTGTTAGATAGCCCTACGGGTGAATCGTCAGCGAGGTTCATTCGGGATACTTGTCCAAGGCATCCATATAGAAAATGCATGCAATAGATGCGAAAAGGAGCTCTTACCACCGAGTATTCAGATATCACATGATCTATTCCGGGAATCTGCTTCTGGATTTCCGCCTCCATAGCGTCAAGAGGGCGGATGAGATGCGTTGCGAGGTTAATAATAATAATAACAATAATAATAATAGCCCGAATCCACAAAGCCACGGTGGTCACAACAATAGAATCTATCCCTGCTGCTGTCTCTACTTTGCAACAGGTGCGAACAATGCGTCCGGGAATGTTTTGGTGATGCGGGACGGTTTTGGGCATTGAAGTTGTGCCAATAAGATTCCCTCACAGTTGGGATTTCCGCTGCAAAAGTCTCTTTTAGCTTCCAATGGTTCGACCCAGACTCGCTAACTTAATACTTAAGTTAAAATAAATCGCTGGAGCCGCTGAAATTAGATGTAGATGGATTCAGATGCAATCTTCAACCGCCCATTTTACTCTTAATTCGCAGTATTTATTCATGACTATATTATCCCCAAAAAAATATTATCTTAATAGTCCATGGATCATACGCTTTGCCATTCACACGGCCTATCCTCCAGTGTGTGCTTGTATAACAACTTACGTCGTCATTGTCAGGGAATGGAATTTCGCAGTATCTGGCGTTATATCAGGATGCTCTGTGTCCATGTACCCAACTGTCATATAGCTCCCCACTCATATAGAATAGGGGGTTTCCTAACTGACTTTCGTCTGCCCAACAAGTTCAGCCAACCCTGTTGATGAAGAAGAATCAGGGAAAAATACAGAGACCAGAGACCAGGAACCAGGAACAAAAGGCCGAAAGCCAAAGCTTTAAAAACGATGAAAATAGTCTTTTATGTGGCTGTCTACAGCTCCCCTGTTCATCTCTCTCAAACCTGGTAAATATCGCAAAAGAGATAGGGTTCAAATGAGATCAAGCTGTGGAAGAGCTAGGCTGAAGAAGCTAGGAACAACAGCGGTACATTTGCTGCTGCATAGTTAATTAGTGCAGATAACAAAAGGCACCCTTTTCTCTTCTCGCGCAGTCTCAGATTCAAAGATGCAAAGATCTCCCTATTCCCCGAAGCAATTGCTAGAGCGAATTGCTGAATATCGTAATAGTCCAGTGCTTCATCGAAAGATTCGCCGGAAGAGAGGAGCGGGCGCGAAGAATAGTTGCACCGTCCGCCGTTCTCTCCTTTCAGCAATATATCTTCTCCTCTGGGAATTTATTCTGCAAGAGTAGGACAGAAGAAAAGCCTGAAATCTAAGCTTTTAGTCCCGACCACAGAAATAAATAACAATAAAAAAAGAAAAGAAAGAAGAAAGAAAGAAAGAAAGAAAGAAAGAAAGAAAGAAAACAACAACAACAACAACAACAACAACCCCCAGCATCTTCCTCCCCGCCAACGCTCGCTTTTACAGATGCGTAAACCGCTGAGCGGGGCATGTAACAGTTAATGTGATGTAACCTGAAATGAGCAGAGGTGGTTGCTCTGGCCAGTTCTTCTCGTCCAGCCGTGTCTGTGTCATGTTTCAAACAGGATTTTGGGCCAGGGGGTACACTAAGGAAACGAGGGCGAAGAACTTAAAAGATAATATACAACTCTAGAGCATGAAGGTTGGAATGCATAGATATATTGAAAGTCTGGGACGGTGGTGTTGCACGAGCTTCCCATCCATACATTCCCTCCCTCTATATATAAGCTTGGTGTATTTTAGGAATGCCCCTTTCCTGGGAAAATGGCTGGGGGATTCTGTAAAAAAAAAAAAAAAAAAAAAAAATGCGGTCTGAATAGCTGCCGGGTGCGGTTTGATGGAGGCGATATTGCCTGGCAGGTGTTACATAGCTCGACATAGCTCGGACGCTGTCTCACGGGCAAGGAGGAATTTTCCTTGGTCGCGCCTATAACAGCCATCTTTTTATTTATTTATTTATTTATTTATTTATTTGCTGATAGCATGGAATTGACACCGCATAACTTTACTCCGTACGTGCCGTAAGTTAATGCAGCGAACACAGTCGTGCTGTTGAGCCCAGCAAAGGATTGGTAGTTGGGGAAGCTCAGCTAAACCAGCAGACGGACGTATGGACGGATTAGTTAGTTTAGATGCCCCGTATTCTCAGCAGGAATATTTCAATAGGAACCAGCAAAACGGAAAACCTTCCCCTCCCTCTTACATATCATCCAGCCGAACAAGCGGAGACATCGTGCCTTGCAACATGGAACGACAAGGAAAGATGAACGAAGTGCAAGGCGCAACTGTCTGGAATCCTTGCCCTGGAAGGAAGAAGGATTGCGAGTTACGGAGCTGCATTAACCAACACTCGGTTTCATCATCATCATCATCATCATCATCATCATCATCATCATCATCATCATCATCATCATCAATCATCATTGGAGACCGGTGCTTTACAAATGTTTCGGTTTCTTTTTCGGCCTCACCTAGTGTATGCGGGATCCTTCGAAACCTCGTTAACTCGGACTTGATCATTGGGAGGAAAGTTAGCAATAAATAGATATACTGTTTAGCCGCCCCTGGAGGATGTGTCTATGGGCTGGGATTCGCTGGTTTGCTGAGCCAGTCGCAGAGCAAGGAACCCTGAAGCTGCTTCTAAGGCTAACCTGGAAACCAAGGTCCGGCGGCTCTCTGCCCCGTAATCATGAATCATGATGAAGAGAATAACCAGGATCCAACCGAAGAGCCGTCGTTCTTTGGAGTAAATAAGCAAACAAACAACCAACAACCAAAACAGAGAACTAAATACAGAGATAAAAAGAAGTAGAATTTTTGAAATTTTGCTTTTTCTCCCTGTGAGACAGACTAACATTTAATTCCAGTTGCGATCGATTCTTCCAAGCGCCTAGCACCGCCAATGAAAAAAAAAAAAAAAAAAAAAAAAAAGCCACGTTCCGCCGTTTAAGAATATCTGATGAAGCGACGGTTTCGGCGCTTCCCCAAATCTCAAGCTGGCTCGACCATCCGTCCGTCACCAAACCATATATAGGCGTCGCACGTAGTAACGCGGCTTTAGTTTCAGATGTTCAACTCGATGGCAGATCGGGCGGTGCGAGTGGATTCATTCGTCCAGATAGTTCAGCGACCTCTTCTTATTTTTTGCATCTCCCCTTCCATCCGGGTTAGATTGGGGTTACCTTCAAACAAGGAATTCAAGGAGAGGAGAAAAGGAAAAAGAGAAAGAGAGAAAGGAATCCTGTTGCCATTGGGAAAGTTCCAGGCCTGGCCACTGATTTATTTTTTTATTTATTTA